AAAAAAAAAAAAAAAAAAAAAAAAGAGAGTACATATTGTAAGATTCCATCCATAGAAAATTTTAGAAAATACAAACTAATGTATAGTGACAGAAAGCAAGCAGCTCAATGGTTGCCTCAAGAAGGAGGGGCAGAGGGAACAGATTACAAAGGGTCACAAGGATACTTTTGGGGTAATAGATATGTTAACTATCTTAAATGTAGTGATGGGCTTCCCTGGTGGCACAGTGGTTGAGAGTCCGCCTGCCGATGCAGGGGACACAGGTTCGTGCCCCGGTCCGGGAAGATCCCACATGCTGCAGAGCGGCTGGGCCCGTAAAAAAAAAAAAAGTGTAGTGATGATGTCATGGGTATATGCTTATGTCAAAACTTATCAAAGTGTACACTTCCAGTAGGTGAGTCTATGTGTCAATAATAGCTCAATTAAAAAAATAAATTTTAAGAAATATATCAGAACAATTAATAGAAGAGAGATTCTGAGTTACAGCATTTTTTCCCATAGCTGTTATTTTGACACACAGGGGTTTTGGTACCTAAAGTAGTTTAAAGTAAAGGTAGAAACAAGAAATCCCCTTAAGGAAGAATAGAGCAATAGAGAAGAATTTTATGGCCTTAAAATTTTCTAATTTTTCATAGAATTAAATTTGTGGTGTAAAAAAGAAAGGAGTGTTTCTGTAGAATTCAGTCCAAAGAGAACCATTCTAAGGATTGTAGTTATTAAACGATTTAAATGAGGCACCAGTCTGGAAAAAAAAAAAAAAGAAGAAGCAAGCACACCCCTGTGGAGCTCATGGGAACTCAGTCCTATCAAATAGGCACTGTTTTACCCACACACCAAACTGATTCCATTTTTATATCACTCATTCTGCAATAGTCCCTTTACAACTATTTAACATTCACCTGTTTACCTTGAATATTTAGAACTCACATACTTAGAACATTATTTTAATGCATTTTCTAAAATATTTATAATTTACAGAAGAAATACTAATTAAATGCATGCTTGTGGCATAAGATATCACTTTGCACACGTTAGCAATAACTGCAGAACAGCTATCCAGTGGGGAAAATACCTCACTAGTCTTTAGACCTAATGCCTGACTTTATAAACCTGAGTCTATTGAGGGAGAGTAAAGCTCTTACTGAAACAACACTTGAAATTTTTTCCAAGCTACAGAAGAAGAAGAAACATGATTCAATGGAGTTGGGAAATGGCACCAGAGTAAATGAATTTATCTTTCTTGGACTTACTGAGTCCCAAGGCCTAAGCTTGGTCTTATTTCTTTTTTTGTGCTTTGTGTACATGACAACTCTTCTGGGAAACCTCCTCATCATGGTCACTGTGACCTGTATGTGACCATCATGAGTAGGGGGCGATGCACTGCCCTCATTGTGGCCTCCTGGGTGGGTGGCTTCGTCCACTCCATCGTGCAGATTTCCCTCTTACTCCCACTCCCCTTCTGTGGACCTAATGTTCTCGACACTCTCTACCGCGATGTTCCCCAGGTCCTCAAACTCGCCTGTACTGACACTTTTGCACCTGAGCTCCTGATGATTTCCAACAATGGCTTAGTCACTACCCTGTGGTTTATCTTCTTGCTTGTGTCCTACACAGTCATCCTCATGATGCCGAGGTCTCAGGCAGGGGAGGGCAGGAGGAAAGCCATCTCCACCTGTACTTTCCCCATCACCGTGGTGACCCTGCACTTCGTGCCCTGCATCTATGTCTACACCCGGCCCTTCACCGCCCTCCCCACGGATAAGGCCATCTCTGTCACCTTCACTGTCATCTCCCCTCTGCTGACCCCCTTGATCTACACTCTGAGGAACCAGGAGATGAAGTCTGCCACGAGGAGACTGAAGGGAAGACTCACGCCTTCTGTAACGGAATAGGTAAGACTCTCCAACCTCTTCATCAGCAAGGACCCCTTTCATTATTTTTCCCATGGAGTCATAGTTATACACTCAGATATATTGTCAATAAACCAACTACACTTACTAGGTAACAATTTATTTTGCACTTTAAGTTAATAGGTTGATGATAACCCAAGCTTCTGGTGAACACAATGTATCAGTGTTATAGGATTGAGTTGATTGATGTATTTCCACTCAAAGACCAAAATAACAACGTGCCAATCATGAAAGGTATATGGCAGGTAAAGACACTGACTGAATCTAACCCCTTTTTCAAGAGGTAAGTAAATAGAAGAATAGAGTGGTGTATATCAAGTTAATTACAGAGATAAGTCTTCAGACACTCAGTCAACTGCTCTCACCTTATGAATGTAATTTATTTCATTACTGGACCTGTCCATGCCAAACTGCCATCTTGCTCTAGAAAGATCTCATGGTCAGTGCCTCTGAAATACACATATATGAATACATGTGGCCTATCACAGATTAAGAAATTTCTTCCTGCTTAAACTCCTTATGGGCTGGTAACCTAGTGAGAATCTCAAAGGTACAAACTGTTGTACTCCTGCATTCCTATCAATGAAGACGCTTGGGAAGATTTCCCATAATGGCCTCCAGGGATTTATCTTATGCAGAGCTAGACATGCCACATTCACGGTCTTATGATAAGTTTAGACAAAGACAGACAGAACCTCAGGGATGCTACACAAAGAGCAATCCGTTCTCATTATTCAAGAACTGGTTTTCAGTTGCAGCCTTAACCAGGGCCAATCTCAGATTGGCTTCACTGTTGACGATTTACGTCTTTCCCACTGGAGAGAGAAAGAGGAGGTGTTAAGGTAAAACTCTAACCAGGCTGTCTATTTTGCACTCTGCTAGTGTTTGTGAAGGGGGAGTATAAGCTGGTGTTTGTGTCTGGGAAAATATGATTAAAATTAAAGTCAAAAGTAAAGCATTGTGGCTGAAAGCTCTAACTTCAGAGTTATACAGACCTGGGTCCAAATCCCATCTCTGCCATCCATCAGCTGTGTGATCTTGAGTAAGTTAAACTCTTCACAGGTCAGAGTTCACCTATACAAATGTACTTATATGATCCATCTTATGGAGTTGTTGTGAAGGTTAGGATGAGATGGTATATATGAAACATACAATGCCTGGCAGATAGTAAATGCTCTGTCAAAGGCAAATGGGTCCATTTAATATTTTTATATTAGTGTTTGTATTTCTCTCTTTTCCAAAATGAAAATACCTTTATTTTAAAATTATGCTTATTACATATTTCTTATCTAAAATGCAGAAAGTTTAGAAAGTATAAAGCAGTTAGTTAACAATCTCCTAGGGCGAACTGCTTTCTACATCTCGTGGTAAAAACCACAAATGCATCCATTTTAATATAATCCTTTTTGCTCTGCCTGACACATTCGATCCCCCATCATCCTGCTATACCCTTCTCCTATATGGCCCATATTCATCATTATTAGAAAAAGAAAAAAACACATGGTGTGCAAATGATGGAAATGTACATTGAATTCAAAGCACCTATCGTCTTAAAATTTCTAGCTTTCTGTCATTAAAACATGACAATAGGTTTTCCTGTTATTTATACAGGTTGAAGGGTCACCCTGAAGCTGAGAAGGTACAGCACAGGAGAGTTTCACAGCAAAAGAATGTAATGGGTCAAGGATAAACCTTGGCGTTGAGCGTAGAGATGAGGGATCAGACCAAGAAAGCAGACTCGGGGGGATGGAAGAGAGTCCCAGGGGAGTTAGCCAAAAGATAGTGAGTGTTGAAGACAAACTTCACTTAACGTCCCTCATTGGATCTGGGCTAGCCTCATAAGGATCCATTAACTAATCAGCTCACTTGCTTGTCATTTCCTGCCACCTGATCAATCAATTCTATTGATAACTTTTTACAATATTAATCCAGCTTGCAAATTCTAAGAATAATCCTCACTTGTCAAGTCACCACTCATAGGGTCCTGCTACATTTGCTCGGTTAGCTCTGGTGTCTAGACTCCCTAAGCTTTTCTTTATGAAACTGCCTATGAAAAATGCATACCACCACTTTATAGTCCATTTCATGCAAATGGACCATTCCTTTCCTATCTCTCGAGTCTCACTCAAATCAGTTTTATCGCTATGTTGTCTGGATCACTGTATCTCAGAAGCATAGTCCCAAGGGAGCAGGAACTCATGAACCCCTGCCACACCACTGTCCCTGACACTTCCTAAAACTATGTATAAACACACAGTATAACCTGATTCAGTAATTCGGAAGAAGGGGAAAGCAATTACATCTCATTACACAGAGATGTATCATTTCTCTGGATGACATAAAATCACAAGCTGAGCTGCATTTTTCCCATATAAATCAGTTTTTATTGTTGTTTAAGCTCTGCTGCTAAGAGCCATAGAAAATTCAACAGACTCTGGGCGTAAACATAGCTTTCAAACTACCCTTTCCTACCTCACTCCCTTGAATCAAACATTTTCACTATAAACATCTCTGGGTACCCATGAACCTAATAACATAAAATAATTCTGAAGTAATTAAACTGATAAATATCAAAAACTGTTACCATGCTGCCTCCCTAGGTTCTAAGTGAGCCATGGATCTCAGAGATGTAGATTAAAATAATTTCATAGGGGCAATATATATGTCACATTAAACAGAAATTGCATGTATAAATCCACACCATCCAGTCTCTGAGAGCTACCCTGACAGTAGCCCCAGAGCTTTGATTTTTCTATTGTTGCCCTTTTATTTAAGCTTCATTTCATTTTCATGAAAATGAAAGCATTTTCATTTGCTTTGCAAGCAAAGCAATTTTGGTGACGAGGAAAATTGCATGGTCCATGGTGTGGTTTAACACTACATGCTCTTCCTAAGCCAAGGAGGATAACGCACTGTCTCATGTGCTTCCTCTAGAGAAAAGGATATGTCCTGGATATGCACTAGTGTCTCTGCAGATACATGTGAGATGGGGCAGAGAGGGGGTGATGGAGGGGAAGAGAAAGAAGGAGGAGGGCTTGGTGACATTTTAATGACTCCCAAGAGAACACAATTGAATTGGCCACTCAGCCTCCACATTCATATTCAACAATATTCCCTTTGCTAATTCCTTTATTAGGCTTGTGGCTGAGGGACTAATAGTGGTGGCCAAGACACCATAAGGCAATGTGGAAGAGTCAGAATGATGTGATTCCCTGAGGTTGCCTTTTCCCACCTGAAGGAAAAGTATAACAAAATCACTAGCCTTGAGGTAGGCTGTCCATGAAGCATAGAATTTCCCCAAAACCTACTTCTAAGAGGCATTGGAGCATCGTAAGAGGATTGATTTTTCACTTGGAGACTGAGTCAGTTAAGTGCTGATGTGCGATCTTCTGAAACTGAAAAGATGTTAGTGTTGATTTTTCAGAAATGCTGCAAGTGTATAAGATGTTCCTACTGAAACCAGAAGTCTTAATGAAGCAAAGAAAAGTGGTAGTTTTTCACTATTAGGAAGAGGGGAATTGTGCCTTGCAAAGTAGAAGAAGGGCTGTTGGCCCCAGGAGGTATATGCTGCATTTTAGTTGGTAGGATGTTGATGTATGAGTTGTTTTGAAGGGAGTTGAGAAAGTGCTGATACCCCAGGTCTCAGAAGATGACTACCGTAGAAAAACAGCTCTTAAAGACAGCAATTCCGTGGGCTTCCTTGGTGGCGCAGTGGTTGGGAGTCTGCCTGCCTATGCAAGGAACGCGGGTTCGTGCCCCGGTCTGGGAGGATCCCATGTGCCGCGGAGCGGCTGGGCCCGTGAGCCATGGTCGCTGAGCCTGCGCGTCTGGAGCCTGTGCTTCGCAACGGGAGAGGCCACAACAGTGAGAGGTCCGAGTACAGCAAAAAAAAAAAAAAAAGACAGCAATTCCTGAATTCAGTATATACAGTCTGGCCAGCTTTGCTTCTTAGCTGCGAATGGAATTTGCAGGGCTTTGAGCAAGGTGTTTTCATAGCGAGCTAATCTGTGCACTCATGTGCTACTGAATATGAAAAATGCTCCTAAAACTTTTAGGGATTCTATCAAGAGTAGAGACTTTTCAGTATTGGGAAAGAGAAAATTGTGACATGGGAGATCTCTCAGAGTTTCAACTTGGTGTAGAGAATGGAGCAGCATTCCTAGCAGGAAGCTGGGATATGGGTGTAACCCTGAGTTTGCAGGTTCTTTCAAAGATGTTTAGTAAGCTTGTTTCTGAAGGATGGTCCCCTTTGGGGTGATTTCTAAGAAGCCCTCATGATCCTTCTTTTGACATCGCAAAAACACATAAAATTGTATTACTTTTCCTTTTTTATTGGAGTATAGTTGATTTACAATGTTGTGTTAGTTTCAGGTGTACAGCAAAGTGATTCAGTTATATATATATCTATTCTTTTTCATATTCTTTTCCTTTATAGGTTATTACAAATCTTGAGTATAGTTCCCTGTACTATACAGTAGGTCCTTGTTGGTTATCTATTTTATATATAGTAGTGTGTATATGTTACTCCCAAACTCCTAATTTATCCCTCCTCCCCAAATTGTATATCTTTATCCCTTCCCCCTCCCTCTCTATGTGCCTGTGTTTCAAAGCGATGTACGTAATCTTGCGGTTTCAAAGTATCCTTCCCGGGCTTCCCTGGTGGCGCAGTGGTTGAGAGTCCGCCTGCTGATGCAGGGAACACGGGTTCATGCCCCGGTCAGGGAGGATCCCACATGACGCGGAGCGGCTGGGCCCGTGAGCCATGACCGCTGAGCCTGCGCGTCCGGAGCCTGTTGCTCCGCAACGGGAGAGGCCACAACAGTGAGAGGCCCGCGTACCGCAAAAAAAAAAAAAAAAAAGAAAGTATCCTTCCCACTCCGTACAAAGACAGCATCCCTAGGAACCCACAAGATCCATGATCTTCAGGAGGAATTTGTGTTAGAGTTCATGCTTCTCAGAACTCATTTCTGCACCTTGTATTG